CCTGGAATCATATATCCAGCTGCCTACTTGGTAGCTCCACTTGAATCCCAAATAACCATTTCAAACTTAACTTATCTGAAACTCAACTCTGATTCCCACCGCACTTCCTTACACCAACTTGCTTCTTCTCCAGTATCTTCCTTTCAGTAAATGGCCCCTCCATTCACCCAGTTGCTCAAGCCGAAAACCTTGAAATCATTCTTGACTCTCCTCTTTCCTTCATGCTCCATATCCAATCCCTCAACAAACCCAGTGGGTTCTACCTTCAAAATGTACCCCAAATTCAACAGAAGCCAGAGTAACCCTTTTAAAATAAAAGTCAGAACTTGTCACTTCCCTGCTCAAAACCATCATCCTTAGCAAAATTCTAAAGCCCTTGCAGTGATCTGTAAGGCCTAGCATGAAGTTGGCCCTTGACCTCTCTGCCCTTTCTCTCCCTCATCGTCTGCTCCAGACACGCTGACCTCCTGGTATTCCTCAAACACACCCACCTTGCGCTCTTGTCGGGGCCTTTGGCCTTGGTTTCCCCACTACCCAGAATGCTCTTCTCCAGAGGATCTCATACCCTCACTTCCTTCATGTCTCTGCTCCAATGTCACCTGTAGAGAAGCCTTACTTGTCACTTTCTAAATCCTGGCTCTGCTTTTATTTTCTTCACAGCCCTTATCTTTATCCAAATTTATATTATATACATCTTTGATTATTTGTTTATTTTCTATCTCCACCCACTAGACCTTAAAACCTTAAGGGGAAGGATTTTACTTTTTTGACCGCTGGATCCCCAAAGCCAAGGGCTTTGCCGGGCTCATAGTGGTGGCACAGTAAATATTCACTGAATGAATTATTTAAAGAATGAATGAATGATCTCTTACTCATAGGGTTGCTAGGATGATTACATGAAGTAAACTATATAGAGTAGTTTCTAGCACATGGTAAAGTACTCAAGAATATCTGTTCCTTCTACTATTACTATTATTTTAAAAATGGAACTGGGCTGTGGCAGTGGTGTGTGGAAGCTAATCATTTTGTGACATCTGCTATTATCAAGGTTTGCTTCTATTTCTGCATTTCATATGTTCCCATCTGGCCTCTGCTCTTTTAGGGATAATTGGAGAAAGCATGTTCCTTTGAGCTCACTGCTCAGACTTTGTTTAACTTGTAGGCATTACTTTTAAGCTGTCCACTTGAATAAGAAATGTCACATTGGCTTCCAAGGCAAATTCTCCAGCTCTGCAGGCTGGCAAGCTCCAAAGGTCTCACACAATTTTCAGCCATATCCCACAGGCCGAGAAAAATGCTACAGATTTCTTGGCATCATACTTAACTTCTGGGGAACAAAGAATACCACATATAACGGAAGGGTTTTAAGGAAGAAATAAAGCACCTGACCACAGGAGGGAGACCAGACTGGACGTCTGTCTGTGTGTAGGCGTCACTCCGTTGCTTTCCCTATCCTGGCAGCAGAAGGCCATACAGTGACATCTGATGCTCCCCTTTGATAAACAAGGCATGCTCCTTTATTATTTTTCAGAAATTTGAAATATATAAAATAAAGGAAGCAGCTCCCAAAAAGCAGATTTGCTTTCCCACTCTTCATCCCTTCTCATCCTCGCTGACCACCAGAAGTAGTTCCATCCCCCTAGGGGTGAGGCGTAGCTCTCCTCCATCCCCCAATCCATCCTCTGTCAACTCACCACTCACCAGCATGGGGTTTAGAGGAAGGCAGATTTAATTTTGAACCCTGGTCTTGACTCTCATAAGCTGTCTGACCATGGGTAAGTTCCTTAACCTCTCTCAGCCTCCATTTCTTCAGGGGTAAAATAACAATGTCTTCAATGAATGGTTGGAAAGATGAAGAAGAATCACCTTGTGAAGCACTTGGCCCAGCTCCATACTCCCAGCTCCCTGCTCCCGTGTTCTGCCCCATCATCCTCCTTCCATTTGTACCGTGGAGAATTCTCAGCTGTCTCTGAGATGTTATCCTCTGAGACCTTCACAGCTGTGCCCTGATATAATCAGGGTAGGTGTGATTGTTCTATTTTTGAGACAAGGCTAGCCAATTTATTGAACCATCTGAACTCCATGGGGGAAAAACAGAAGGTGAATTTACTTTTTTATGTAACGGTATTTGCTTTGATAAACCTCCCTCCCCCTGGGTTGCACAGCCTGTGACCAAATGTTGGCAGATTCCTCAACTCCCTGGTCACCTTAATTTATTAAAATCAGTCTAAAATAAAACTCCAATCTCATCTCCTTTAAGTCTCCTTTCCTCCAGCACCAGTCCAGTTTATAGCTGGAAGCACTTGAAGTGAAGAACGTCTGTTCTTCTCCTTTGCTGCTTCCAGGTCCTCACCTTGGTGTGGCTCAGTCTCAATGAGTGACTGTTTCATAACCTCCTCTCACCTAGTTTTGCCAGAGATGGAGAGTCCTCTTCAAAACAAGTGCTGTGCTCCCAAGGGCTTATGGTTTCATTCCCCTATATCAGTCAGGATGTGCTAGGTTATGATACAGTAACAAACAACTCCAAAGGAAATCCAGAGCACCTCCTTCCTTCTCCTTCTTCGGCAACTCCAGCTCCTCTGGTGGGTTTGGGCTGTAGGGCAGAGGGAAGAGATAAGAGTCTTTGCTGGCCCACTGTTTCTGACCTTTCTAGGGAGGTCGTTGCTGCTTCTCTGGCTAGCCCTTTCTGGCTGATGATGCCCCGTTGTTGGCCTTAGTGGTGCTTCTCTAGAGGGTCCTGCAGTGCCTCCTGCTGCGTGGCTCCCTGAAGTGTGGAGCTGGCTTCACACGACCACTGCCAACTTCAAATGGGCAATGAAGTCCAATCCCACTTCATGCGGAGAAGGTGGGGAGAACAGCATTGTAGGCTGTGTACACATACTAGATACCCAGCTTAATGGTTTAAAACACTAGCCATCTCTAGTTGATGATTCTGTGGGTTGACAATTTGAGCGTGACTCAGCTGGACAGTTCCTCCGGTGTCATCTAGACTCCTTTATTCCCTGCAGAGAAGCGGGGTGGCTCTGTTCTGGAGTCTTATTCGAGTGATGGGAGGTAACTGGACCATGTGTCTCTCATCATGCTTCAGGTTGGGTTTGTTCATATGGCAGTTTGGCAGGTTTCCAAGAGGGACAACAGAAGCATGCAAGGTATCTTGAGTTCTGGGCTTGGAACTGGGTTAAAGTTGCTTCTGCCACCTTCTATTGGTCAAATTCTCAAAATCAACAAAACTCAAGGAGTGGGGAAACATGCTCCACCTGTGATAGGAGGAGCTGCACAGTCCATTCCAAAGGGGAATGGGGAAGGGGAAGGGTAGAGAACTGTGACATTTTTGCAGTCTACCCCAAGCATTAATGACCACCGCATATTTCTGGTCTTCTGACTGAGAGGTTAGAGGGTTGATGCAGAGGTGACTAGGCTTGGCAAAGCCAGGTCAACTCATCTTCTATGTCCGTTAAGGGTGTTTGACCACACTTGATGGATGCCTTTATTAGAAGAGTGTGTTTAGCACCTTTTTATCTGCAGCTTTGGGCCATAGACATTAATTCCAGGCAATAGGCAGAGTCCTCATGGATATTCAATTACAAAAGGAAACTAGCTTAAAGGTGAAGTGACCTATTGCAGTTCATGCAGCTACTATGTGTTTCATTTCTTTTGTCTGGGCGGAGAGAAAACTGTGTAGTAAGGGCTGGTGATAAAAAAGCAGAGTAAATACCAGAGACTTTTAAAAGGCCACTTGGCTGGGATGAACAGAGCAAGGTAGCTGGTGGTGCAAGCTGTCATCAGGATCCGGAATCTGCCAGTCCCTGGAGCGCATGACAAGGAGCTTTTCTTTAAATTTAAGAACAAAGGAGGGCCCCCCTCCGGTGGCATAGTGGTTAAGTTTGCATGCTCCACTTTGGCGGCCCAGGGTTCACCGGTTCGAATCCTGGGCGCGGACCTACTCACTGCTCATCAAGCCATGCTGAGGTGACGTCCCACATAGAAGAACTAGAAGGACCTACAACTAGGATATACAACTATGTACTGGGACTTTGGGGAGAAAAAAGAAAAGAAAAAGAGGAAAATTGGCAACAGATTTAGCTCAGGGCCAATCTTCCTCAAAAAAAATCTTTAATTAAAAAAAATAAAGAAAACAAGAAAGTTGTTTAAAAAAAAAAGAAAACAAAGGACACCGTGAAGGATCCTAAACAACAGGCTCACGTGCTCACATCTGTGTTTCCAAAAGATCTCTTTAGCTCCAGTGTGAAGACTGGATTGGAAGTGAAGACTGGACCAAACCCAGACCTTTCTTTCAGAAGTTAGTGCTTTTTCAAACCCGTTTTGGTGCCTTTTCATAAGTCCCAAAGGCAAAGGAGAAATGGTCTGGTTTGCCGTGGCCAAAAACAAGTGACAGGGCTGGGGGAAGAGCAGAGAAAGTCGAACAGATAATCGCACACTGTGTCCTCCTCAAACACTCACACACACACACACTCACACACGCACACGTTACTTATCCATATGCTTCAGACCCAAGCAGGCTTGAGAGTTTCTGGTTTGTGTTCTGTGGATAGTTTAGCCAGACTGATTCTGAGTCAGACAGTGGCTGCTAAGTGACCATAAGAGAAAAAGGCCAACAGTATCACAGACCCAGGCTTTGAGCCCAGGAAATCGTACACTTAAAATTTCCAGTGATTCAAATTCAAAAGGCAAATGATGTTAACAACCCAATGTCATGAGACATTTTGACAGCACATTGGTGGGACCTCAAAGAGGCAAGGAGGAGGAGCAGGGGCAGAAGCAAAAGCTACATGGGACCTCTTTCTGGCTTGGCAGTGAGTGGGGGCCTGCTGAATTCCCTCTAGGCAGTGACACCACCCCACCCGCACAGGGACCTATATGAGCTCCTGGGGCCTGAGGGTGTCAGTAGGAACAGTGCAGTGCATGGAACAGACCTCACCCCCACAGCGTGGGTCTGCATGATCGATCGTAAGAGAGTCTGTTCTGTCGTTGCATTGCAGCTCCAGAAACTAAAACGATCACTTTCTTTCAAGACCAAGAGTTTACGGAGCAAGAGTGCTGACAACTTCTTCCAGCGAACCAGCAGCGACGTGAAGCTGCAGCCGGACATGCTGGCTGAGGTCAGCCCCAGCTCCAGCCCACTCCCTGCTCCCGGAAGCCTGACGTCCACGCCCACCAGGGCTGGCCTGCACCCAGGCGGCGGCGGCAAGGCCCATGCCTTTCAGGAACACATCTTCAAGAAGCCCACCTTCTGTGATGTCTGCAACCATATGATCGTGGGTAAGGCCTTCCCCTGCCCCTTCCTCCAGGTCCCAGCATCCCCTGAGAGCCAAGCGACCGTGGAGTAGCGCGGTCCAGGTCCCGCGTACGGACTCTGAGCCACGGAGATTTACATGCAGGAGGATTGTACGGGAGCATTTGGGGGACAGTGTTTGTGAAAAGGTAAGAGAAGCAGGACTGGGCAGAGGAGAAGTTGGGTTGTGATATAGTCATAACAAAACCTTCAGCTGATCCCCCAGGGAGCTCTAAAGCCCTTTACAGTCACGTTGCATCGAGACTAGAGGTCTGGGACTTTGCACCCCTGCATCACCTTACTGTATATGGGCAGCCCCTGAGGAGGGGGCATAGTCTTGAACAAAGCAGCTCTTTTTAGCCAAGGGAAATTAGCAGAGAGGGAATCAGGGGAGGCAACCAAGACACTGGGCAGTTGGGGATCGGATTCTTCGGTTCCACAGGGGGATCGGAGTGAGCATCACAGCATCCACTACAGTGTGCGTGGTGATGTCTAGCTGGCGTAGCCTGGGGAGGGGTCTATTCCTTGATGAGTTTCAGGTGAATGACCCAGACAGGCGGGTGTGGGAGGGATGATTCTGGGTCTAGGGGACCTCGGGGAGGCACTGAACCAGGCAGGAAAGGTGATTCAGCCACCACTACAACTCGACCCCAAAAGGGCCCACTCATGGTACCTCAGAGAAATGGTGGTAGCCTGAGAGTCTTAGGGTTTGTTCCTAGATGAGGAGAATGACCTATAAAATGTTCCAGCTGGAAGGAAAACATAGGCCATTCAGAGCCACATGCATAGATTCCACCGTTCACACTCTTCTGCATCTCCCACATCAGAAACTCAGTGACCAAACGGATGGAGGAACTCATAAAGGGAATTTGGATGGGACTTGGAGTGGATTTAAATCAGCTGTTTAAAGAACAGCAGTATATCCAGGTAGTTGACCAGTCACGAAGAACAAGAGAAAAGGGGAAAGCAGACAGGCCCTTGTTTGCTCTCAGGGGGCATGAGGGCATGATTTACTCCCGGCTAGGAGAAGTTAAAGGGTGGAAGGCTGGAATCAAGAGAGGAAAATGAGGCTGAAAACCAAAGGTGCCAGGCTGATCCAGCTGTGGACTGTCTTCCTGAGATGGTGCTGAAACCCCAGACATGTAGCCAATCAAATGCCTGGAGTGCCTGGAGGAACACTGGGGAAAATGGGTATGGGAGAGAGGCCTTGCCCACCCTCTGGTCTGATGCCAGGCCTATGCTGTGGCTCCTAATCACTTACAGCCTGGATGCCCCAGCATCCAGCTTGGCAATGAATGCTTCAGGGAAGTACGCTTTTAAGATCAAGAGCCTCAGATTCCCCAGCTGGCAGCCAGGGCCCAGTGTGGCCCTAGGCAAAAAGCTAATATGATGCTTCATCTTACCTTCCAGCTCCTCTCCCCTGACGCATGCCCCTCCTTCCCAACCCCACCGTCAGCGCCAATTTCTGGCAGCCTGGCATCTCTTCTGAGTATGACAGTTGTCTTAGATCAGACTCCCTAGAAGCAGAGACAGGCATTCAAGTGTGCATAATTTATTGAAGGGGTGCTCTCAGGAGAAGGGAGAGGGAGTAGATGGGGCAGGGAAAGAGCTAAACAAGGAAGTGGCCTTAGGTGGATCTCTCTTCCCCCTGATCTCGAGGGAGCTCTGACACATGAATTGCATGAGTTGGTCCTACCTTGAGGCAATGAGCCGGCCTTTTGTATCCTGCTGTCAATGGGCTTCCCTCCTCCTCCCAGGACGGTGGTTTCATAACCGTCTGGGCAAAGTGACTCGTGTTCTGCTGAAGGCAATTTTCTGGAGAAAGGGGTAGCTGGGAGTCATTAGCAGCCAGCACATATACCGCCAGTGTATTAGTGGCTTTTTGCTGCTGTAGCAAATTACCACAAACTTAGTATCTTAAAACAACACAAATTTATTATCTTACAGTTCTAGAGGTCAGAAGTCTGCAATGGGCTTCTGGGCTAAAATCAAAGTGTCAGTAGGGCTGCATTCCTTTCTGGAGGCTCTAGGGGAGAATCCGTGTTCTTGCCTTTTCCGGCTTCTGGAGGCTGCCCACTCCTTGGCTTGTGGCCCCTTTCCATGTTCAAAGTTGGCGATGGTAGGTCGCATCTTTCTCACCCTGCCATCTTTTTGGTCGTGACTCTCCTCTTTCTCAAGGACCCTTGTAATTACACTGGACCCACCTGAATAAACCAGGATAATCTTCCCATCTCAAGGTCACCTAATCAACAACCTTACTTCCATCTGCAACCTTGATTTTCCCTTGCCCTATAACATAACATATTCACCAATTCTGAGGATTAGGATGTGGACATCTTTGGGAGGCCATTATTCTGCCTCTGCACACCCAGGAAAGGGTATCTGGGCAGGGCCTCAACAGTGTCCACCACAACAGTAGAAGAAAACCTTGGCTGAAGGTCACAAGACTGGCTTTTGTTGATTTTTTTTCCCTCTGGCTCTGAGGCCAATCATGTGATTGTTGTATTCCAGCTGATGGCTTTGCGATGTCACATGATGAGAGGCCATTTTCATTCAAAGTGGGCAGAGAGGTACCTTTCTGTCTGGTGCACAAAGTAGGGAGAACGCTGACCCACATTTTGCTCCTGACTATTCCCATGACATAACTAGCCCTTTCCCTTCCCAGCAAAAATGAGATGAGGAAGTGAGGATGGTAGAAAGACCATGAACATGGAATCAGACGGCCTGGATTTGAGCCCCAGGCAGCTGTGTGACCTAGTGCCAGTGACTCACCTTCTCTCAACCTGTGTCCTCATTTTATATGGAGATGATAATACCACCCTCAGGGTTTTGTATGGATTAATGAACTGGCAGAGGGGAAGTACCAGGCGTCTAATAGGCTCTCAGTAACAGGAGCCCATTGGAGTTGGTATTATTGTCATTATAAATAAAGGGGAAAGTAATCATTACTCTGCTGAGGCAGAGAAAGATATTTGGAGAGTAAACTAATTAGTTTAACAAAAAAATTTTTAAACTTAATAGACATAAATAATTGAAAAAGATAATATCCAGATAACAAGAAGTAATTAGCCCCTCATCTACGCAGCAATGTTTAGTGTACACCTTAAGGATTGTCTCTAATTCTGCATTTCATATTTTATGAGGGATATGGACAAGGAAGCAAGTGAGCAAAGAGAGTAATTGAAATGGTGAGTGGTATGTCAAAATAAAATTGTGAGGAAACTCTTTTGAGTTTGGTGTGGAAAGGACTTAGGATTTGCAGCTGTATTTTAAAATACCATGTCGGAGGAGTCAAGAGCCTCATTCTATGTGGCTTTAGAGGGAAGGGTTGAGAACAAGGGGTAAATCTGAAAGGCAAATTTCAGCGAGAATCTAACCATTTAACTGATGCACTTGACCTGTAATTGAATGGGCTGCCTTGTGAGTGGCAAGTAGTTTAACTTCTGTCAGTTATAGGTCTTCTTGAAGGTCGTTTCTTACTTAATTATCTGATATTCTTTGAAGTGAAACTTGGAATGTGTGTTGCTTTCCAAAGAGGCCAATGTCTGTCATCATTGACCTTTGACGTATCAGTGGTTTCCAATATGGCCAGGGAGGCCGGGTTCTGCAAATCACTTCACCCTTGGCCAAGACCCACTTGGGATATTCAGAATGGGTGGCAATATCAGCCCCTCTTGTGACCATATACACAAGGCCTGTCCTCATCTTCGGAAAACTGTTATCTACTCACAGTCTCATATCCTAGTCACTATTATTCATTTTCTTCATTTAAACAGGCCACATTTAGGAATAGTGCTTGTATCAGTAAAGGATTTCCACAATAATGCTGTGTAACAAGAATTCTAAAACTCCAGCGCTTAAAGTAGCTTTTCTCTCTATCAGGAGTCTTCACGTCAGCTTGGGTTTGACTGATCCAGACTCAGCTCAGTTATTGCATCTTCTCTCTATTTCTTAGCTCCTTTCCTTGGACCAGTAGGCTTGCCATGTCCTCTTCTTCTCATGGCAAAGACAAATGGAAACATACAAAGCTTCTTAAGGCCTTGGACTAGAGGTGACACACTGTCACTTCTGCTTTTATTCCACCAGAATGTGGGCCAACGCCACGTCAAGGGGTGGAGAAGTGCACGCTGCCTCTAGTAGCAGAAACTGCAAAGACGCCTGGCAAAGGTCACGGGTAAAGGGAGGAACGAAGAATGGGGTCAATAATCCAGTCTACCACAGTGCTTAGGATGGCCTCTGCATTACTGAACCCTTTTTGTTTGGTAGATTCTGCTAAGTCACCCTTCCACTTCACTTCTCCATCTGGAAGTGATGCCTGGCAACTGACTGTTAGCATGGTGGGGAGGGGTCTCAGCATGTTCCATGCTCAGAATCCTTAGGCAATCAGTCCTCCAACTTAGTTTTTGTGTCTGCCTCGCTAGCTTTTGAATCTGATGCGTCATGTTCAGTTTCCACGCAAATTTCCACCAGGCTTTTTCAAGGCAGTGCTATTCATAACCCTTACTTAGGTGATGATGAGTCTCCATTTTAAATCTCATTGTGACGAGCATGAAAAGACAAACGGAACGTGTGTTTTTAAAATGAGTAACGGAAATGAGTTCACCTCTGAGGAATGTCATAATCATTATCCTGAAGAAGATTCTAGGTACACCTCAAGTACAGCAACAGTTTTGATACACTCTATTTTGAAAATAAAAAACAACATGCCCTGGGCTAAAGAGAATTGCACTATACTTTTGGCTTCTCAGAATTAAATTTATATCGTAGCTACCTTTTTATCTTAAAAAAGGAAAGAGGAAAAAAATAGTCAACAAGGCACACTGCTGTTTTCAAAGATGAAATCGAAGTAAACCAGGCAGTAGTCTCCTTCTAGGAAAGAAGAAGGGGATTAGAAAGACAATGGGAGACAGGAGGGGAAGGGGAGAGAGAAAAGGCAGGAGGTGAGGAGAGGAAGAAAAGTCAGGTGAAATAGAGGCTGATGAAGTTT